CATACAAACATACAAACAGACATTAAACATTAAACATTAAACATGAAATTAAAATGCAGAACACAGACGCGTGCACATCGAACTGAACTAGAAACACAGGAATGAAAGGTGTGCAGGTAAATGAAGTGTTTGGAGGTTAAAAAGAGTGTGTGAGTGAAAGTCACAGCGTTCAGCGGAGGGAGGTGTGGAGAGAGAGCGGTGGGTGGGTGTTCTTCCTTCTTTCTGCTTTACATTAACCGTTTGAGTTGCTGTGTCGGGAAGCGCTGCACTGAAAGGCCCAAACCTCCTCCGTACTGGTCGATATCTGCGGGCCCCGTAATGAGGACGAGGCTCCCAGGCGAGTGTGGCGGCGGCGGCGGTGGTCGTGAGCTTAATTTACCAGCACCATTAACCCAGTTTCCTTCCCTCTGTGACCGAGCCAGCTGAGAGGGAGGAGCGAGTTTCACAGCCAGCATGTGCTCTAATGTGTGTGTGTGTGTGTGTGTGTGTGAACCATGTAGCTCCCGTTAATCGATCGGAGAGGAGTGAGACAGCTTCATGGCAGAGGCAGTTGTTGTTGTTGTTGTTGTTGTTGTTGTTTATTCACCTTTTTTAGGACGACATTAACTGCCATGTTCCCTGTACACCTAAAGAGAGCTGCGACGAGCCAACCATCGTCATTATTATTGGTTAATCTGCAGATAATTCTGTGGTTTATTTGATTTATGAAATATTAGAAATTGTGGTTGTGTTCAAAGAGTTAAAAAGCCAGTAAAACAGAGTTTACTGTTACATAAAACAGAGAAAAGCAGCAAATATTCACATTTCAGAAACTAGAACCAGAGGAAAATACATTTTCTGTTGATTGATGAAGCTGATTAATAATAGAAGTTAAAGGACAACATTTAGGACTATTGGGTCTTTGAAATAAATGTAATTTATATATTTTTTTAATACTGGTGAAGCAGCAAATTGCATCCAGGACTGACAGAAATACAGAATATTTTAATTTCTTTAAATAGAGCCAATCTATGTGAAATCTTAATGCAAATTTTCCATCCATCCAAGATGCTGACGTCAAACAACATCGGGTAATACAGAATAAATAATACCTCACAGTATTCCTTACTACCCATATTCAGACTGTTACACACATACAGGGGTGAACTTTAGAGTTCGGAGTCTCTAGGATATTTAATTTGATAATTTATCTGTGATTAAATCTCACCTTAGTCATAATCAACCATATATGTTTGTGCGTAATAATAATAATAATAATAATAACAATAAAGTCTTGTGTAAAGCAGTGTGGGTGTAGTACCGCTGACCGTCCAGCAGATGGCACCAGACCCGGAGCCGCATGTTGTTGTTGCGTTTCGACTCTCTCACGATAAGAGAGTTTCCAAAAATTGCACCAGAGGCTGAGCGTGGGGGCTCAGGTGGTGCGTATGTGTTGACTATGGTGTCAGCAGGGGAACTCTCACTACACGTTCATTGAGTTTCCCAAACCACCCCATGACAAGGAAAGCTGCCGTGCTGCCGGTTGGAGGCTCTTTGTCAAATGTTCATACCGTCTTCAGTCGTGGTTGCGTTTGACTTCGCCGCTTTACCTCACCGGATGAAAGATTGACTTGTTATATTGTAGTTTATCTGCAAAAAACCCGTAAATTTTCATTCTTTTCACTTGTTTTTAATGAAAAACCCTTGTGGAATTACCCATAATGCTTTGCAGCTCAGATTCAAATCCACTGCTCTGGTGCTGCTCTTTTGCTGCAGTTGATGTTTATCTCTGATGTGTTTAATCCGCCTGTAGTCCTCATGTTTGTTGTTGTCTTGTTTGTTTGTGTTTGTTTGTGTGTCTCAGGTGGTTTTGCTGGGGATGGACATTCTGTCGGCTCTGGTCAGCAGACTGCAGGAGCGGTTCAGGACGCAGGTTGGGACAGGTAAGCTGCTCACATTATTAACAAAATGATTTCTATATGCAGCACACATATAACTCTAATAATAATTGATTTAAATTAATTAGAATAATTAATTCAATTCAAATAAAATAATATCCAAGTCAAAATAAAGAAAATAAATTACTAGGATTTTAAATTATAGCAGCACGTATAGCAGAGTACAGTTTATAAACCAACAGTTCTGTTTTAGTGATTAATAAAAAGGTTTATAGAGTGTAAATATAACTCAAATAATAATGAATTAATAATTAAATTCATTAATTAAAATAAAGTAATTTCTAAGTCATAATAGATGCAATTAAATATAGGTTTTTAAATTACAGTTGTTGAACAGTATATAAATCAACAATCCTGTTTTATTAACTAATAAAAGTCGTACATAGTGTATGTATAACTAATAATAATAATCATTTCCAAGTCAAAATAGATCAAATAAAATACAGGGTCATATATATAAATATATATACATATTACACACACACACACACTAACCCTAACGGTCTTGTGTGTGTATATATATATATATATAACACAATGATATAACAATCCTGCTTTATTAATTAGAATGAGTGTTTATATATAGTTTTCATTGTGCATTTAAAAGTATTTAAAGGTACAATCAATGATAAATCAATATAAAACATTTAAATGTAGTTCTGCTTCTACTTATTTACATTTGAATTTAGCATAGTGTACAAATAACTAATAAATGAAATAATTATTAAAATGAAATATTTTCTGTTCTATCTTGTATTTTTCTATTTTATTTTTATTTAAGTGATCAATAAAGGAGTCAACCCTATCTTTTATATATATGTGTGTATTAATAAGATAAAATTATTGGTTTTATATATATTATATCTATAAATAAATACAAAGCAGATCAAATGAATAAATATTTAAATGAAATTAGACTGAATATAATATAATATATAAAGAGGTGCTTTCATCGTTGTAGTAACTTCTGTTTCTGTGTCCGCTCAGTTCTGCCGAGCCTGATTGATCGGTTAGGAGACGCCAAGGACCAAGTTCGAGACCAGGACCAGGCGCTGCTGCTGAAGGTCATGGACCAGGCTGCCAACCCACAGGTGCACAAAAGCACACGTTAATCAATTCACCAAAGTATCGTAATTCTTAAATGGCCAAAACTCAAAAATAAAAAGGACAGCATATGTTTATATTTTCAATTTTATTCTGTATTATTGTGCTACAGCTTGGTGAGCAAGGGAAACTAAATGCAGCACTTCATAAAGTCTTTTATTTACCATCTTAATATGCAGTGTACCGATAAGTTTATATTGTTTTTGGACATGTGACATAATATACAGTTTCTACAAGTGTCTGATTTGACTTTTTCTCCATGGTCTAGTTTTAAAAAAGTCAAAATAAATCATAGTATTGAATTGCCGTACATAACCAATCTGCTCCCAGAGTATCGTATCGAATGGGGAGATAAGCACATCATCCAAACCTTTTTGTGTTGTGTGTCACTCAACGTCAAACGAAACCATAAAAAGATCGACAGAAAAAGATATTTGGGGAGCAGATATTTTCTAAATCAAAGCCACTGTTTTATTCAAACTTTATTCTCGTACCTCTTCTTAAAAATCACATATAATCTGTTGAGATTTAGTAAAATTCAGACAGTATTAAAAAACAGAGTTTGGTAGTATGTTGGCATACAGACACACTTGGACAGCCGTTGACTAAATGCATGTCAATGTGCTTTTTCTTTGTGCATTGATGTCTTTTCAGTATGTGTGGGAGCGAATGATGGGAGGCTTCAAGCATAAGAACAACAGGACCAGAGAAGGACTCTGCCTTTGTCTCATCTCCACCCTGAACGTGTAAGATTTAATCTTCTACATTATGTGTACTTTTTATCAAATGCAATTATTGTATGTATGTCATTTTCAGTAACAACGTTAGTCTGTGTGCTGTTGGTCTGCCTGAGTTTAAAAACTATAATTAAAGTTTGTGTTTTAATGAGATTGTGTTTTACACAAAGGTTCATGTTGTGTTACATTTTGTTCTTTCAGGTTTGGATCTCAGAGTCTGACGCTCAGTAAAATCGTCCCTCACATCTGTAACCTCCTCGGAGATCCCACAAGTCAGGTACAACCTGCTGCTTCCTACCTGGACATTAGTATGTGGACGGGGCCGAAACAGCCCTATTGTTGGTCTTTGACTGCCCTTTGCTGGTCAGATACAAGAATTACAGCTCAGACCACAAACCGGGACCTCTCACACGTTCTCTCTGTACCTGTTGTTAAACATACAATATGTAATTTCTGCCACTGGGAGGTCTCTCAAATCAAAACAGCAACAAAAGAGGAAGTTTAATGAGGTGGTGAAGCGTGGGATCATGGGAGTCTTCACCACCATTGGCGTCATTGAAAGTGCATCTTCTTTTCCCGTTAGGATTCTTCAGTGTTCATGGTTCAGAGGTTTCTACGGGTTTGGCCCAATTTAATCCACAGAAGGTCTCCTCCTCTTCCAAAACAAACAACCTGCTGATTAAAAACCACTAAAAACACACTGAATAAAGCGTCTCCACCTTAAAAATCACTGCTTCATCAAACCTGTGACCTTGGGGCCGTGGGGGTCTCCTCTCTATCCACCAGACCCCTCGTCTCCTCGCTGTGCTCTGCCTTTTAGTCTGTTGTCTCCTGATTGGCTGCAGAGGTCCATCATCACCGGAACCACACTTCCTCTTGAGGACAGGAAGCCGTGCCCATGAACTTCCCTTCCTGAAGCCAAACACGCACATGTGCACTAAAGCACACGTTACGGACCATCGTCACTAAAATGATGAGTGGGTTCTGGAAGAACTGCTTAAGTCTTGTTTTATCTGCACTTCTGTTTGTTTGGGGGAAGGAGAGACCGGTTGGAACAGCCTGAAGTCCAGTTTACCAACAGGTGGTGGTGCCTGGAGGCAGCTCCACCGTTCACTGCTGCAAACAGTGTGAAACAAATAATAATGACAGGGGAAGCTGTAGGTGTAAAGTGGACCTCCTAACAAATTAAGAGCAATATAAAAATA